TTTGAATTGAAGAATAACATGCGTTCACTCATATTGGGAAGTGAAGAATTCATATTATTATATTCGAAGTCGATAAATCGCTATTTTATCTTCTCAAATCAGATTTCGGTAAGTCGAATGATGTTTCGATTTCACGCATATTAACGGTATGCTCTTGATGAATATAATATGCACATTATCGGTGTAATATCTCCTACAGTTTCATCCCTCGGTCGAGAGCCTGAAGAAAATATATTGAAGCAGCGAAACCGTGAATCTATATCTTACCATCACCAGAGACCTTCCTGTTCCAACTGCTATTGATGTGAAAGACACTGACCAAGGATCTTTACCCGAGTCCATTTCAAATTTCAGTATGGACTCAGCTGCTAAGAAATCAGCTCGATTTGAAGCAGCTCCTGCAGGAGCAGAACTTGACATGCTTCCTGACTCGTTTGGTGAAACAAAGTTTTTTGAGACCTCAAGTGAGACGAAGAGGTCGAACAACTTAGCTTATGTACAGCAGGAAGATACGTCTCAGTTGGGCCCCGCTGAAAGTTTGAACAATGTGATGAACCATGCTAAGATGCCTGCCTACGTCGACACCACCATCAACAACCTACTTGAGGAAACATCTATTCTGATAATCATAAACGATATAACTCTGCCCCTTGATGTAAACGCTGCCCCTCACAGTACAAACTCTTCCTTGGATCCTACTCTGAAGTCAAAACTTTTGGATGATTTTGATTCGTGGTTGGATACGATATAACACAACTGTTGTATCTTTAGCTGATGTGAAAGGCATATTCTTTAATTTGGAAACGTTTAGTTTGTGACATGACTCCAAAATTAGTGTCGAGCACTTCATAATTCACTCACGGTGATGGAATGCAAATTTTGAGGGTCAGCAGACTCCTTTTGTTTACTTTTTCATCCTTTTCAGTGGATTCTCAGATCATTATAATTGTGTGTAGACTAGAGTGTACAATCTTTATCCGCATAAGGGGTAATAGTATAGTGATCATTGAATCAAGATTTTTTGCTTCTTTGATACTGTTCAATTCATTTTGCCAAACATTTCATACGACAATTGTGATCAATTGTTAATGTTATATTGAGACTATTCTTGAAATTCATGTATTTTATCAATATCATCCGAAAATTATGGCATGTCTAATCTTGATATAAAAATAAATTTAACTAGTGAAACCATATAGTTTGAATAAATAAATTTGTTTGCTCTCTAAAAAATTTTAGACTTTAGACAAAGCAGTTGAACAAACTTAGATCACAGCCTTGGTTTGTACAGACCGAAAAAATGGTTACTTTTCTAGGTGGGAGGTGACGTGCCTAATGAATTGACCATGAAGGGGGCTGTTAGCAACATCAGCACTCAAATTTTTTTAATTGATTTTTACATCATTTATCGACCTGTTTTCATATCAATTGATTCCACCTGGGATTCGTGTTAGAATTCAAGCCAACACAAGCTTTTCAGCCTTTTTATGTTTTAGCATATCAATCCAAATTCACTCCGAGAACCAGGCTAAACACTATATAATCAAAAGATGAACTGCTTTAAACATAAATGAAACCATTTTGACATTGAACAAAAAGATGACCAAAACTTCCAGCAAAACCAATTAACAATATTCTTGTCTTTATAATTTAAATCAGTACCGTGCTATAAAGCATTTACTTCAATAGCAAAAACATCATAGCTGGCACTACTCAGGACGAGGATGTTTGAGGTGAATCTCAGAACCTCTAACTTAAAAATTTCAAAACCTTCAATAAAGATTCGCCTTTTCAATGAAGATAGTTTCCTAAGCAAATTAAATCAACTATTTTAGTTTCATTGATAGATCACGGCCTGCTTGAAGTGGTACCACTACTTAACTGGCTCAAGAAGAAAATCTTAGTTCAGAAGGGAAAAAGTAATTCAGCCATTTTCCAGTTACTTCTTTCCGCCTCGCTCCAAGTTTAGATCCTGAAGGTTCAGCAACAGATCATCAGAATTCAAATACACTTTGTTGTTTGAATTTGCAATGGTTTGTGAGATTTCTCTAGATGCTTCAATTCTCCGGAGAGTAATAAATGCTGGATTGTTGGCAATAGCTTGACCAATCAGCTGAGCACTCTTGGCCTCACCCTGATAACAGAAAAACAGATTGCAGTTGTCTGAGTGAAATTGCTCGATTGCAGGCAGAAAAATTGAACAAATTAACAAAAATGGACAAAACCAAAAGCATTTGCTCGAGTGAATGCACATTCTCTTTTTTAATGATTAGTAAGTCTCAAGTGTTCAGAAGACATGAGGTGACCGTTTTAGTAGTTCAGTAAATGCACGCTTTCATTTTTAATGATTAACGAGTCTTAAATTATAAGACGACTCGAGGTGAAAGTAGTCATCGAATAACAAAAAATAAAGTTACCTGTGCCCTAATTATAGCACTCTGTTTGTCTTGCTCAGCTTTTTCCACCACAAACTTGGCTCTCTCAGCTTCTTGTGCAGCTACTTGTTTAGCTTCAATTGCAGCTGTGAATTCCCTTCCAAAAGTCAGGGTTGTAATGGACACATCATCCAATGCAATGTTGAAGTTGGCAGCTCTCTCAGTCAATATTTTTCGTATTTCTCTACTGACAGCCTGCATGAAATATACAAATAATGAAATTTAATTATACAACCCCAACCCAGTTGGAATATGCTACTAATACCTGACCATGCCATCAGAAAATAGTTCAAAGAACCATCTTCATCTATCTGACTCGATCCCACACGTGCTAGGGAGGTTGTCAAGAAGAAAGTCGTGGTGGGTAGGTGAGAAAAAGGGGTGGGATCAGGTGTAGAGTTGACATTTTTCTGATAAAACCAAAAATTACAAAATTGTATATCGGGATGTGAGAGATCATTGGTGGTGTACTCAAAAGCTCATAAAACATGTTGTATACTCCCAGTAATTTTTGTGTGAAGAGGACTGTGAACAGTTACATAAATTTCGACTAGCCACTTACCTCTCTTTGGGTGATAAGCTGGCTAGCATTGTACTGGGCAACCACAGCTTTCAAAGTCTCATGAATAATTGAGGGCAGGACTCTCTCATTGTAGTTTTCACCAAGAGTTCGATAAACAGTGGGTAACTGGTCAGGCACAGGACGAGTGAGAACCCGTAGACCAATTTTTACCTGTAAATCAAATAGCAAACCAAGTAAAACAATGAAATTCAATGATCCAAGTTTTTCATTTTCATTTTTTTTTTTTTTGTAAGGTAAAATAAGTAATTTTTGACCTTAAGCTAATCTCAAAAATTTGACCAAAAATATGAACAATAAATTCTGCTGCTACGTTCACACAAACACATTTACAGACTACTAAACCAAATCGATGTTGCCAAGTGTGCTATACTATCACATGTTCCATATTGCGTAAACATCCAATGACCGAACTAATGATACCCCCTTGCCCCACCCGCGGGAAAAAAGACAAGGAAATAAGATTGTAGTAGTATAAACTTATAAACCCTTAGACAACATTATTTCATTCAGTAGCAGATTTTGTTAATGCCTTCGAACACACCCCCACCCCAAAGGCACAGAATGGACACAAGTGGTTTGCAACTTAAGAAGGTTTAATTCAGAAGATCCTGTATTATGATTAGAAAGCTGAATGGCAGACATTTTTTGTTTTCAGAATGACAAAAACAATGCTAAGCTAAAATAGTGTCGTTATTTATTTAAATGAACGTAGTGTGTCGAGAAATCATTAAGTCATATATGATGTAACAGAATTTTACAAGTAGCATTTCGTAAGGTATATACAATGCAAAAGTTACATACTTCCTACAAGTTTAGAAATAGATTTCAGCTAGATGAGTAAAATTGACAGTGGCATTACATGGATAAGATTCAGTCAAAAGTATTTTTCCACCCACAAGGATTGATTATTTTGACGATCATGGAAAAACTGTAATATTTGAATAGAATAAATTTAATTTGGAGAAAGAACTACAACTACTGGATTGAGTATCTGCATTTTTGAGGTGGATCTCGTATATAGAAGCAAAGTTAGAATAGGAACCTAAAAAAAATGCTAAACTCTCTCTTTTGAAACCAGAGATCATTGCACCTTCATGCCATTCAGAATAAACATAAAAGTAGAAAGCGGTCATTACAACTTGTAACTCATAGAGGGTGGCCCCCAAGCCCCCAGAAGTGAAGTATTGCAAGCTGAAGGGAAGAGAGAAGGGAGGAAAGCTAGAGAGAGGGACTTACCATCTGAAGATCACGACTGCCTGATGTGCTCTCTACTAAATGTGGTCGCGCACGAACATCATAAATAACTGGCCTTTCAAACCATGGAACCATCAAGTGTGTCCCTTCAGGATAAACCTATACATAAATCGTGAAAGCAAAATGTTGACCAAATTGTGTAGTGTACATGAAAAATAAAGTATGTTTATACCTCTGCAATTGTGATAAAGTGAACCACAAAAAGCCATATGAACATCTCACTCTAAAGGTGTGTTTGAACCACATTATTTTGGAAGAATGTATTTTGGAATAGTAGGTTGATGAAGAATGTGTTGTTGAAAAAGAAGGAAAAGTTATTGATGTGATGGAAAATATTATTTTATTGAAGAATGTGAGGTTGAGAATGAGTACAAAAATGAAAATGAAAATTTTAATGTGGCTCAAACAGGGGCTAAAATTACAAGTCAAACTTATTTTAAAGTTTAAAATAAGAAAATGACAAAGAATAGCAAGCCCAATTACTCGGTCAAATTAGTTCATACAGCACAACGTATTTAAGACTGATTCCATTGAATAATAAGCAAACATTTTTGTTAACATCAATACCATAACAAAGGACCAATAAAACTAGAGCTACCAGATGTCATTAAACCACTAGAAAAGTGTGAACTAGTACTATCCTTCCAAATTCTAGTACAGCAGCAATTCAAATACTAAATTTGACAATCAGAACAGTTTTTTAATCTGCACCTTCCATCCCTTTACCTGAATGAAACAGAATACAAAAATAAATTTATCATAGAGAAGTTAACTTTTTTGCTCAAAATTAGCACTTCCTTCACTTTGTTAAGCTAATTATAAAACTCCTAGTCATAGCCTGTCACACCAAGCCAGGCTCCTAGAAAACCAGTTCACAGGTTTAATTAAACTGGATGGTGTAGTCACTCTTCTAAAAAAAAAAAAAAAAGCTTCTTCTAAGTTGCAATCCCAAGACCGGTTGATAAAATTCAAGTGCAAATGATAAATTCACAGAACTCTCTGAAAAAGAAAGGAGAAAAAGGTACACCATGGAGGTGCAAAAATAAGTAATAAGTGCGTACATGACAGATGTAAAGAACCCACAACGATCATCCAGAGAAGGAATAGGTAAAAAAATATAAAGGGAAACTGAATATGAAAATTTCTGATTTTACAAAGAACAAGACAGACATTGGACGTATAATTGTTTATCAAAAGCAAAATTTTAACTGCGCCCCAGACTTTATTAACTAGGTGGGGCTATTCCTTCGATGACCAGAAATACTGGAGTAAGCATGAAATAGAAAAGCTATGATACAGCGACACGGACATGTGTGTCCGACAGATATGTGTCGGATACACCGACACGCTATTTTTTAAAAAGTACAGACACAATACCCGACACGCTATTTTTTAAAAAGTACAGACACAATACCCGACAAGCTATTTTTTAAAAAGTACAGACACAATACGTCATCTACACGTTGATTAAACTCTTAAAAATTCTTCATTTATATAGTATAAATTTAGTTTTATACTTGTTATTAATTTTTCTTGTAAAAATCTTTTAAATATGAGTATCTATTTGTTACTTGCTAATAACTTCGAGTTAACAATATATAATATTTTTAATATAAAAAGAAAAATGATTACGGTAGAGTGTTCGAGAAGTGACGGTATCGACGTGTCGGACACGCTACCCTAATTGAAGTGTCCATACTACAGAGTAGAAAAGTGAACATTGTAAAGGTTGAAACAGTCTGGGAAATATTCAAATGTTAATTCCCGATCCAAGAGAATAGGGAAAGAAAAAACCTTCTCTTTGACACCAGTGACACGATTGAAAACAATGGCTCGGTGCCCACCCTCAACGTTGTAGAGACTGTTAGCAACTCCGTACACACCAAGACCAGCAATAACACCCAACTTGATTAAAGCAGAGGCAGCACCGCCACTAGGCATCTTGGGAACCTTGACATTGTTCATATTCATCTTCCAAACCACTGAACACTGCCAAATTGTACCATTATTGTGTAATATTCTTTCTAAAAATGCTGGGATAATTAAATATGACCCCCAGTCTATTTTCACGTAATCAAATGCATATATTAAGAGGATAAAGTACAATCTGTCACACGCATCTGAAGAAGGTTAATTATGCACTGAGAGGTCTAACAATGCAAATCATACAAGAATGGCAAAAGGGTTCACACAAATTTTTTGGAAATATGAATGCAACAAGAAGAAATTAGATATGAATATTCTCTGAAGAAGAGTGGCCATTTTAACTACACGGTGAAATAAAGCATTAAATAGGAGACCCCATATACAACAGACATAAACACCATAAAAATATAAATAAATCAGATTTTTTTTTTATATACACGATCAAAAAAGACAATCTTTGAAAGTCAAGCATCACCCCCAACACAATTACATTTACAAGTAAAACGAAAAAAAGAACATAAATTTACCCTAAAATCTTGTACTTCTCCAGTATTTGAAATGCAAGATCCAAAACAAAATTAGTTATCCGTAGTAACCCCCCGCCCCACCCCCCCCCCCCCCCCCCCCC